AAACATTTACTTTACTCAAGTACTGTCCTGTACTTCCCTACACTTCAGAAGCATTGTACTTCTTACTGAAATACTTAACCTTATTTGCAGTGTTGGAAGTACATGTAATCAAGTACTGCACTTGAGTTATTATTGCTACTATTACTAACATCTGAGTACTATATGACATTTCTTTTGATATTTAAAGTACATGTTGCCGATACTTTTGGACTTTTACTTAAGCAACATTTGGAAAATATGACTTTTACTTGTAATTGAGTATTTTAATACCATGGTATTCCTACTTTTACTTAAGTAAAGTATCTGAATACTAGACTGATCACTCATGTGAGGTTATGTGCCCTTCTTTTTATGTCATGCCACCTGATAGATAATGTAATGCCATGTTCCTGCCCATTACGACAGCACCGAGTGGCCCTGTACTTGTATACAAGACCATGGAGTGTCTTTGCGTACACTATAGGACATGTAACCCACTTATACAGCTGCACCACAGAGTGTTGTCTGATCCTTCGCTCTGTTAGGATTACCCACTTGCACAACACCCTCTAAGCTACAGCTGATTGTCACCTGATTGATTATTTTTCATACTGCCCCTTTAAACTGGTTTGGATATTGAGCTGCTCATCTTTCCATATGAGGAAAAGTGATTTAAAAAAGCCTGTTGTTTGGTTTGTGGTATATTTAAGTGTTGAGATAAGCGGCTTTACCACTTGTCCTACAACAGTCTGTCGAGAACATAGCATGTGCCAAATTGCTCAGAACTAAATTGTAATTATAGTCTTTGCAGGCATGAGCCCACAACAAAGACTTCTAACAGGTTTCTTTGTTTTCACGCCACAGCTGTGGTGATGGCACCGCCAGCCTGTGTGAAAATGATATCTCCACCGTGAGGAATGGCTCTACCTGCTTTACTGAGAATGGGGAGGGGGGGGGGGGAGACACACTTTTATTTAGTCTGGCTTTACCCAACCTCTGGCTGTACGGTTTCTTCCAGTTTGGAAATAACTCGCTCAGCTCAGAGGAATGCGGGGCATGCAATGGGAGCTCAGATCATCAGATCAAAGGTAGATGGACGGCCCGGGGATCGTTTGATATTAAGCAGGGGGGGGGGGGGGGAGATGTAGGGAGAAAAATTGGTCTCTCAGCAGTCTTTACTAAATGAGGTTAATTGAATCTGGGTAATAGCTGACCTTCCTGTCTCGGTGAAATCGCAGCCTTAACTGATCAATGCCTTTCATAAATGTATGCCTGAAGGTCATTCAGTTGATTACCCCCCCCCCGCACCCCCCCTGCCTCCCTCAGTCGGCCCATTGTGCTTAAATTAACAGCGAAAGCGTTTTCACACTTAAAAAAAAAAAGTGCAATTAAGCTTGTCTCTGATTTTCGAAATGAATTAGCTTGCTGTGTTGTTAACTAAAAGCGATGTGGACACGGAAAATGTGCAAAGCCCCCCAACCCCCCTTTGCTTCTTTGCTGTGACAGCAAATGCATTTTGCCTCGCAGTGAATGTCTCACTTATGGCGAGGGTTTCTGCTCTCCCTCTGCGGCTGTTATCTGGAGAGTAATGCAGCCAATAAGTCATTGGTGTTCAGGGAAGTTGGGGACTTTTCAAAACAAACAGCAGTGTAATTTGTCATTTGTCATTCCCTAATTCTTGGAATGATGGTTGTGCATGTGGCTCTTTGGGGAGTTAGCATGCTAATGGTGGGTTTACTGGCCCGGCTCCCTCCCTGGCCTCCTTCTCTCTCCTTCTCCCCCTCATTCCTTTTACGCCTGCCGAGGAAACGGAAGGATTTCACAGCTGCTGAGAGCCGGGCCCCGGCTGGGCCCTATGACCTCCTTCTTGCTTTTTCCCCCTCCCTCAGTCTCACTCCCTCTTTTCTGCCTCTCTCCAGCAGTCTCTTCCTCAGGGAGCTCTTGTGTGGCTCCGAGGAAGCTGAATCATAAAGCGTGGCTAATGAATAGAATAGGGAAGGAAAGCATCGGCCTGCTGACGGCCCTCCAGAGAGGAGGCCGGGCCCCTGAAGCCCCAGGCTCAGATAGCAGACGGCCCCCTCAAAGGTCAGGCTTCCTGCGGCCCGCTCCAAGGGCTTTTGGCTCCCAGGCAATGTGGCTTGAATTTCCCCCATTCTTTTTTTGAAATGGTTAAAATTCCCTGTTTCCTTTGGAAAGCCTGGCCTTTGCTCCTCTCTGTTTTCTCTTTGTCTGCCTCTTTTTCTCCTTATATATATTTTCCCTCTGTCTCATCTTTCCTTGTCTGTTTTTAATGGCAGCCAGGGTTACCTCAACAAAGAAAGTGTGAAGAATGTGTTATACATGACCTCTGCGCACCACGACCGCAGGCTAACAGACTGCCAGCAGCACAGCCCCGTGAAAAAATGTCTACTTGACCAGCGCAACCCAAAAGGTTCCAGATAAACCTCAGCGCGCCAAATCAGGGCTCTGCTTTGACATGCCTTTTCAAGAAGTGCTTTTGTAAGCCGGCCTTGTAATTGTAGATTATAGGACTGAGTCATGCAGACTTGGCAGGTGCCAGACACAGCATTAAAACCTAAATATCGGGTGCCGATGTTTCTTGGAATATGTTTGGAATATAAAACAGCTGGAAATAGCCAGAAAAAGGAATAAGGACAACCTGGCACATGATAAACAGCATTTTCTGTTCTCTTTCTCAGGAACGTTATGTCTGCCTCGCTCTCTGGATAACCGCTCTGGTCATAACAATTGTTTTAACCGTTGTAGTGAGTTATGACCTACCCTGTCTGTTTCTTGCTTTCGTGACCCCGTGCCACTCTAAGCAAGTCCCTGAGCCAGCTCCCGTGTCCATTTGACAAGCTTCACTTCATTCTGAGCCCACATTCGTCTTCCAGGGCCTCCGGGGCCATGATTCAGGGCTGAGGTTGTGCCGCTGCATTGCCGGGGCTTCGGTACTGGAGCGTTTAATGTCGTCCAAAGCTAACAAAGAGCCTGTGTTGCTGCCTGACGCCCTGGTTCTGGGAGACTGGAAGAGGGCAAAGCACAACGCTCTGTCTTTCCTCTAAAGTCATTTGCCTGTAAGCGGAAACAGGAAACCTCTCCATTCAGTCAAGTGTTCGCCCTCCATTTAATGTTCCACTCATCAAGACACAGCTAAGGAGGTGTTATTGACCTCTTCTGACATTAGCATCGGGCTACTTGACTACATCAAACACTTTGGTTGAGCATTCTTTCAATAAATACTAGTATTTACATGGTTGCAGCTGTTAATGCTCACTCTTAAAGATCTTCAGAAGCTGTATGCCACTGAGGTGTTGATATGAACCAATATTTATTTAAAGGGACCTATTTTTTACATGTTCATATTTGTATCTAGTGTCTCTACATGTCTCCATGCTTTAATGTTCAAAAAGCGCTTTATTTGACTCATACTGCCTGTGCTGCAGCACCTATGTTCACCCTCTGTCTGAAACCAGAGCCCTCTGATTGGTTAGCTGGCCGGCTCTGTTGTGATTGGTTAATTTTGTGTGGGAGGAAAACTCCCTCTAGAGGTAGCACAGTGAATATAGCCTGTGCAGACCATTTACATGCACACAAACCTACAGTAGGGAAACCAAGAAAGCTTTATGCGGCCCCTTTAAGTGTAGTTTTAAAATCTGGCTTATATCTTTCCATAATAATCTGCAGAATCCTTCATGTTTTTAGTAAACATACATGGTTGCGTCTGCCTTGCTCTCTACAGTTATGTCTTCTACCTTTTATTTGTGTACGGCTGCAGTGGGAATAAAGCGAGTTGTTGAAGGAATCAGGCAAAGAAACCGCAGTGGCACTGGAGGAGGAATTGGGAGGTCTTGGAAAGAAGAGGACGTCCTCAAAACACTTGTGAAGAACTAACACGTATGCCAAGGACAGCCATCTGTGTTTACAAAATGATTTGCGTTTCTCTTTTTGTCTCTGTCGCTCTCACTCTGATTCACTGTTCGTTCTTTACATATGCTCCCTTTGTGCCGCGTAAAATACAAGCATGGCAGTTAAGGACACTCGGGCCCTTTGGGTGGAACATATGCTCGGCTCTTGCAGCTTTTTACAAGTGCGCGGATGAGAGGATCTAAAGCAAAGGAAAAATCTAATCTTGGCTTTAAACAACACCCCTATATGGGCTGATATGACTGGATTCCCAATATTATCGTCCAGGCACACCGATTTGTTTTGCACGATACCAGGTTTTGTGTGGATTTACTGCTTTTCGCTCAGTGTTTAAACATTTCCTCTCTGTCCTCGGAACATGTGTAAAAATGTATGCAGTGTTTTGATTTAAATGGTGCTTGCCAGAATCATATTCATATGAAGCAGAGAGGAAAATACCTCGCAGTGTTTAGTCTACAAGTCTCCACTATCACCTCACAGCGAGATGCCTTTCTGCCTTCACGTCCATTCGACTGAGGTCCACTGTCAGTCACACATCTGTAACAACTGCTTTGACCCAATAACTGCTCATGTTGTTGACGGGTTATCTGTTTACTCTCAGAACGAGCTGATATTGTCTTTGATATTGAATCTGTGAAATAAGGATATTGCTTTCGGAGTAGAACCACATTCTATTCATGAGATGTGTTATTCCATTCAAAAGATATTTCAGAACAAAATGTGATTTTCTGAGCGTGCGTGCAGGAGCCTTTGTGCTTCTAATGCTGCATAGCCACCTTACTGACTTCCTCGTCTCTGACAGCATTTCTTTGGAGGCTTTTCAGGTGGCACAACAGTGCCACCTAATGTTACCTCGACAGGAGAGAGCCAGGCAGGGACCGTCGGGTACAGAGGGAACTCTTCTTGTTGGCTGAATGGAGTATTTTGATTGAATGTGTGATGATATCTGTGGCAGCTGGCCTTCTCCTCCATGCACTAATGGCCACGTTTGGGTCAGAATAAGGCTTTTAATGGCAGACAAATGATTTTGATACGTAATAGTATTAGTTTAAATTGGACAAATCCACTAAATGTCTGCCTTCTTGTTTTTCCAGGTGTCTGATGTAGGATCGGAGAAGCTCTTTTCCCCCACCACACCCAAAGGTAAGACCCCGCTCTGTTTTCTCCATTCCCCCTTTCAGTCTTTACCTCATTCAAACGGCAGCAACTGGGTTTCTCTCCCCAAATCTCCCCCGTCTAATCCTGCAGCTTCCATTCAGATTTAAATGTCAGCAGACATAAACAAGGTCTGCTCATGACATATGCATACATTTTTGCCTGAGCGCAGAGTGGCATTTCTTGGACGACCCCGCCAAAGGCTTAGCCCTCCTGCATATTGGTTCATTAGAGGGGATTTAGAGCCTCCCTGCCACATGCTCCCACAAATGGGAACTTCCCTGAGGCAATACACGCTCTCTGACAGCAGGCCTGGACCATAATGGATGCCAAAGGAAAGAAAGAGCTTTGTCAGCCCCCCAGACAACACACAAGCCTCATGTGTGTGTTAACATAGGCACACATGTGGATTATAAGGCTTTTGTAGGTTCATGCATGATCTCAAGTGGCCATCAGACTGCACACATGTGTCTGTGTGTACAATGCGGGCATAGCATGTCTGCACCTGTATACTGAGTACATGTAATGATGCTTGCCGGGTCAGAGCAGGGAGAGAGGTGTCAAGTTGTGGATGCAGGGAGGGAGGAGAGGCGTGATCAGCGACTAGTGACAGAGAGCAGCATGCAGACCCCGTCCCCCCAGGGCAGGAAGCAGGGAGAGGGCCATTAACACAGGCAGAGGGAGAAGGAGGTGCAAAGGCAGAACACTGTAAACAATGGACATGTTAGGGGGGGGGGGGGGGGGCATCTGCAGGGCATACTGGAAAAATATGATCTTGCCTCAAATGGACTAATACAAAATAGTAATAGACAACTCGGATGTCAAATAGAAATATGTTCTCTTGCTTACTATTTGATATGTTCAATGTTTGTTGAATATATGTTGAGTGTTGACAAAGGTAGCAATCATTGACAAACTAGCTATAAAGAGTATACTGTACATATGACAGTGGTACATTATTTGTTGTTGTAAAAGAAGGCTGTTACCCATCTTGTTTTATTTTTACATTTCTGACAATGGACATATTTGTAGAATTGGCATTAAATCTACTTCCTGCTTTTCTGTACTCACAAATATGTCTTTGTTGACCTCCATTTTAACTCCTTAGAACATCCCCTTCTTAAAGCTAGGTTCCCTCTCAACAACATAGAAAAGTGTGGCTTGGTTAAGCACAGTAGCTCTGACTGCTAAGTAGAACAGCATGGCGGACACAGAGCAGAGAAACAGGCTGTCGGCTGTGTGATGCAGACGACCTGTGACCAGCGTCTGCCTCGCAAAACCGGCGTTCACAATGACTTTGAGTCTTGCATGGTTTAGAAAACAACTAGAGCGCGTCAGACTCCATCTCTCCTGCACCGGGCTACTGCTGCTGTCAGCGGGTTATTTCCCCTGCATGCCCGTACGGAACAAGGCTGCATGTAAACACAGCACAGCTAGTCCAGGCACACACACAGCCTCCGTCTCTGACACGCCTCCAAACTCTCTTCCCCTGTCTGCTGGCGCGCTCTGTGGATCATGCTGATGTGCCTGAGGATTAGGACCCTGGAATGACATCCTCACAATCCAATCAGAGTTTCTCCTGATTGTCACCCAGATCAACCCGATCCGGTTTGGGGTGATGTGTGAGAATGGTCACCAGATTAGAATTAGGGGTTATAAAGGGTGAGGCAGCACAGCAGAGAGATCAGCTGTGTGATGAAGTGATTTCTTTCTCGTCTCCCATTCCAATGTTGTTGTTTGGAGCTGTAATGAATTCTAGGTGTGTGTGTGTGTGTGTGTGTGTGTGTGTGTGTGTGTGTGTGTGTGTGTGTGTGTGTGTGTGTGTGTGTGTGTGTGTGTGTGTGTGTGTGTGTGTGTGTGTGTGTGTGTGTGTGTGTGTGTGTGTGTGTGTGTGTGTGTGTGTGTGTGTGTGCGTGTGTGTGTTTTCCTCTGGTTTAGAATGCGGCGTATGTGTCCCATTACCGTTCTCGCTCGCGGTCCTGTGGGACCAATGAAAGGCTTTCCTCTGATCAGCAGGCCTGTCGAGCTGTTGGCTGCTAGGCTCTCCAACAGATGCACACACACACACACACACACACACACACACACACACGTTATGGCACACATAAATATATAATGCTGCAATGATGTTAAGCTTGTACATTTCTCTTGGTAATGAGTGTTACTCTTCCTTGTATTCGGCATCGTGCTCCTTCCCTGAACTTTATTTCCGTGAGCAGTTACGGGTACAAGCGGTTGAGGTTAAGTCCAAATTGCACACAGGCCCACAGTCTGTCATGCTAATGAAACGGTTCAGGGTTAATGGAGGAGAGGAAAGACCAACATAGTAATCAGTGAAGGCAGAGCGCTGTAATTACGCACACAAAACATGGTTTTGGGCAAAACCCAGACACCATTGCCTTCTTTCTCTCCTGTTTACTTTTCGACATCGCAAGCAAACAGTGCAGATTATACAAGTTAATAGTGTCTGTAATAACACTGCAGTACTCTTTGGATGTTGTTTCCCAAACGCCAGCACTAGTTCTGCTAAACGTCTGTGTGTGTTGGTGGTTTGGAGGAAGGTACAGCAGAGGGCAAGCGTTATCTAACAGCTATCGGTTTTTTGTTTATTTCCTGTCTTAAACCTCGTGCAATTATTGATTTCCTGGAGGATGGCATGTTTAAGTAAAGGCGCTGGGAAGACTTGTGCTCCACTCTGGGCTTCTCTTATTGAATAGCAGGTCAGAGTTTACTGTTGTCACTTGCTTGGAGGCGAACGAGGAGCTAAATGTAGCTGCTGAGCGTGCACAGGGCACCTCCACAGAGCTCAGAGAAACACTTCACTCGGTAGGCCTTCTTAGAACATTTCACTATGCTGCGCCTATGGAAGTGGTGGGGAGTTATCACCGAGCTGTCAGCGGCTGGAAATATCTCTGAAGAGCACTTTGGAATCTGCAGTCGGTATGTTGAATGTTGTACAGTATCTGTGGGTTTAAGAGCACGAGTATATTGTTCTCTCTGAGCCTGGTTTCCTACCTGCCGTGGTGTGGCGGTAAACCCGTGAAGTGTGCGGGCCGCCAGACGAACCCAGGGCATCTTGGGATAGCAGGAGAAAAGATTGGTCGAAAACCCATTTCTGAAGTGGATTTGTGCCCTTGTAATCCTGATTAATTTTGACCCGTTGTGCTCATTTTAAACAGAGCATTACAGTAAGCGTGAACACAGCGAGCTCCGGGGCGAAACCAGGAGCTTAGCGGCTTTGGGAGGCTTAGCTGCAGATGGCATTTTAAGCCGGACTTAATAAATTGTTTCCATTAAATTTACCGGCCCACACATACTGGATTAGACCAGTGGAACAAAGGAAGGAGAGAGCGTGCAGACGAAGAAGCAGAAGCACACACACACACACACACACACACACACACACGCACACACACACACACACACACGGCCATCATGCACATCTGACTCTGTTAGCATCTCTCTGAGGCCACATGAAAGGTGAAGACAGGGGAGATGGAAGCTTTTTTGACGTGAATGCAAAACCCTCTCACTTTAGATCTCGTGCTCGTCAGGGATGTTTGGGGCAATTTGCTTAATTGACGCAGAAGTAAACAAACAAACAAAATGCATAAACCATTTAGCTCGGCAGTGGATTTAGGGCTTATCCTCTAACTGTTTATATATAAACACATTACCAATGCTGTAGCTTAAGGATTTAGGATCTGCCCGTACCCTTGTTTTTTTTTTTCTTTAGAGCCCTTTTTCTCATATATCAATCTTCCATTCTGGGAAATCAATTCCTTATGATAAAACCCCGCCTCTCACCTCTTCTACCCTCAACGCGTCGTACCTCCTTCTCCCATTGGCTCATGGCTCGCTCCCTAAGCTCTCATTATGTGCTACACAGTCCAGGGTCCCTGTATCGAATCTCTAATCAACCCCCCTGCCTGCAGACCTGCTCTCTCAAAAGGTGCTGAGTGGCCTTTGTTCCGCCACTGCTGTTTGCTGCACGTCAATAAAAGAGATGGCCTCCTCCTCCTCCTCCTCCTCCTCCTCCTCCTCCTCCTCCTCCTCCTCCTCCTCCTCCTCCTCCTCCTCCTCCTCCTCCTCCTCCTCCTCCTCCTCCTCCTCCTCCTCCTCATCCTCTGTTACCTGGGCCAGCCTTAGCTACAGCCCTGCTGCAGTGCAAGCTTACAGAAAGTGAATCGCAGTCCCACCTGCTGGATTCTGAATGCCAGAGAAGGACGGTGATTTGAGAGGGAGCGGCAAGGTCAGGGGCAGGGGGGATTGAGGGCCTCTCAGCCATAGTGAAGTGGACAAGGGAGCATGTTTGTATTCGGCCGGGCAGCTCTCCTCTGGCCAGGGCTGTGTAATGTATCACCGAGCTGGACTGTTCGCAGCCTCTCACCCATTAAATAATGAATGGAGGTTGACCCTCTGACCAACTAATCAGCTTTTCACCGCCGCTGAGTCGGGATTGAGTGGAGGTAGATGGAGTGTGTGTGTCTGGCTGGAGGGCAGACATGTTGTTGGAAAAACACGAGGGCTGCTGCGCAAAGGCTTCCCACAGCCAGATTAGCAAACGCTGGAATTGAAAGCAGCCATCACCGCTGAGGAATCCAAGCCTGGCGAGCCTCGCCTCTGATTTGTCTGACAAAGTCCAGGCAGCTCGCTGGACATGCTTTCTTTATCAAGAAGACAGATGTTTCTGTATTGACGTAGCACTTATGGTGGTGTTAGGGCACTGTGAGAGTCACACTACTGTATGTGCAAACTGGAGATAGAGGTTTAGGATGCATGAAATAAACCTCTTGACTCACATCTATTGTTACTCAGCTTCAGCAGCAGCTCATGTGTTTATTTCGATATTAATGGGGCCCTAATATTCTCATTTTCAGGTTTATATTTGTATTTTGTGCCTCAACTGTGATATGTCTGTCAAAAAGCTCTATTTCCTGTGCTGCAGCACCTCTTTTCACCCTCTGTCTGAAACCAGAGCCCAATCTGCTCTGATTGGTTAGCTGGCCGGCTCTGTTGTGATTGGTCAACCGCTAAGAGATGTCCCGCCCCTTCGCCTATCCCAACAATGTGTTGGAGCGCTAGCCAATAGAAGTGCAATCTTTACGTAGTGATGTCACTGTAAACGGTAGAAGCTGCTAGCAAAGAACAGAATGGGCTAGCTAGCACTCAGTTCAGGGAGAGGAATACTTGGGAGCAAAGCAAAGAATAATGTCTTGTTTCTTTATTAATCTCTGGGTTATTACTGTTCACAGACACAGGGCAGTTCAGGAGCTTGGTGATTTGTTTGTGGAGGAAAAGGCTGATATTAATGCTCCCTTTATTGATAGTGCTAATGCTGTTTGTGCAGCCATCCCTGTCGGAGAGATGAAAATAAATAGGGAGAGCTCGGCGGAGATAAGACACGTGTTTAATTATTAATTGAGCCATTACTGACAGAGATTGCCTTTTTTGATTTAAAGCAGTAAGGCCTGCTTCGGGGACAGAAAAAGCAATTACAGAATTCCCAGCTTGCACCACCGCTGCTCATCGTTCTCGGAGTGAGAGGAGACAAAACACTCCCACACACACACACACACACACACACACACACACACACATCCATTTTACACCGCGGTGTTTCATAAATCATTTTAATTCTTCTTCAATATTTATAGCGTTTTAAATTACGATCACACCGTCATGTAGTATTTATGTAGAGTGGCAGCCAGTCAAAGAGACCACATTACCCACAATCCCCTCCATGGCCTAGCACCTGGAACAACTGACTGAAGGGAATTGTTTGGTTTTGCTTGACTCAGGAAGTATTGTGACACTGCAGCGGCTCTTAAAGGCCGCCTGTTTGTAATGCATGGCAATTAGCTGGCTTGTAAAATCATTGCTGATATGTCATACTATCCCTATGTGCACTTTGTGGCCCCTGTAGAGCACTATTACGTCCATTAGAAGAGTGCAGAGTGCCCAGTGTGCATGAAATATGAACTTAGCCCCTGTTAGAGTATCGGGTTACTGCCTGTTGAGCTTTAACCGTGAAACAGTCAGTGTTTGTGTCCCTCTTGTCCCCGTCAGGACGCCTGACACCTGTCACTCAGTCCTATCAGCGCCTGTCATCTGCCATCGCAGGTGGTGATCTCCTATCGTCACATTGAAGGCTGTGTGATTAGGCTCCATTGTGTGCTGCTGCTGCTGCGTTCATTGACTGAATATGGATCCAGCTTTAGCTGTGCAGAGGGAGCAATTACAGAATCACTAAAGGCCATGAGGGGGGTTTGAGGATAAGTTGTCAGGGGCATGACCGGCATTTTGGCTGCTGCACTTTAACCATACATCTTCAGCGTATTGGACGAAGGAAAAGTGAATATACTGAATCACTTTAGCGGTAAACTGTGAACTCAAAGCCATCTCAACGGAGGCCGGCGCTCCCCTGAGGCTTTCACTGCTGTCTTTTCAGGTCAGGTTAAATGATAAAATGCCATCCAGGCCTCTCCACGCACATGATTCCCCTCACTTCGGCTAACACACCAGCAGCAGGGTTGCACGCAATGCCAACAAAAAAGCACATGTGAATTTATGCTGAGGCTTTGACCCAGAGCTGACTGAGAAAATGTTAATTTAATAATGTACTATTATAAGCAAACAAATCCCATTGACAGCAAAGAGTGCTATGCTTCTTAGCAGTGTCTGTGTTCGGGTTCCTTCTTAACTATACACCGAGGTCTTAACGAGGTTTTCTCTCTCCTGTATTGTGTTGTTGTGCAATCTGCAAAGGCTAAGTTCAGTACCAATCACAACAGAGCCGGCCAGCTAACCAATCAGAGCAGACTGGGCTCTGGTTTCAGACAGAGGGTGAAAAGAGGTGCTGCAGCACAAGCAGTATGAGACAAATAAAGAGCTTTTTGAACATTAAAGCATGGAGACATGTAGAGACACTACATACTGATATACACCTGAACATCAGCAGGAGAGGACTCTTTAAAGTAGAGACACTACATACTGATATACACCTGGACATCAGCAGGAGAGGACTCTTTAAAGTAGAGACACTACATACTGATATACACCTGAACATCAGCAGGAGAGGACTCTTTAAAGTAGAGACACTACATACTGATATACACCTGAACATCAGCAGGAGAGGACTCTTTAAAGTAGAGACACTACATACTGATATACACCTGAACATCAGCAGGAGAGGACTCTTTAAAGTAGAGCCACTACATACTGATATACACCTGAACATCAGCAGGAGAGGACTCTTTAAAGTAGAGACACTACATACTGATATACACCTGAACATCAGCAGGAGAGAACTCTTTAAAGTAGAGACACTACATACTGATATACACCTGAACATCAGCAGGAGAGGACTCTTTAAAGTAGAGACACTACATACTGATATACACCTGAACATCAGCAGGAGAGGACTCTTTAAAGTAGAGACACTACATACTGATATACACCTGAACATCAGCAGGAGAGGACTCTTTAAAGTAGAGACACTACATACTGATATACACCTGAACATCAGCAGGAGAGAACTCTTTAAAGTAGAGACACTACATACTGATATACACCTGAACATCAGCAGGAGAGGACTCTTTAAAGTAGAGACACTACATACTGATATACACCTGAACATCAGCAGGAGAGGACTCTTTAAAGTAGAGACACTACATACTGATATACACCTGAACATCAGCAGGAGAGGACTCTTTAAAATAGAGACACTACATACTGATATACACCTGAACATCAGCAGGAGAGGACTCTTTAAAGTAGAGACTCTACATACTGATATACACCTGAACATCAGCAGGAGAGGACTCTTTAAAGTAGAGACACTACATACTGATATACACCTGAACATCAGCAGGAGAGAACTCTTTAAAGTAGAGACACTACATACTGATATACACCTGAAACATCAGCAGGAGAGGACTCTTTAAAGTAGAGACACTAAATACTGATATACACCTGAACATCAGCTGGAGAGGACTCTTTAAAGTAGAGACACTACATACTGATATACACCTGGACATCAGCAGGAGAGGACTCTTTAAAGTAGAGACACTACATACTGATATACACCTGAACATCAGCTGGAGAGGACTCTTTAAAGTAGAGACACTACATACTGATATACACCTGAACATCAGCAGGAGAGGACTCTTTAAAGTAGAGACACTACATACTGATATACACCTGAACATCAGCTGGAGAGGACTCTTTAAAGTAGAGACACTACATACTGATATACACCTGAACATCAGCAGGAGAGAACTCTTTAAAGTAGAGACACTACATACTGATATACACCTGAACATCAGCAGGAGAGGACTCTTTAAAATAGAGACACTACATACTGATATACACCTGAACATCAGCAGGAGAGGACTCTTTAAAGTAGAGACACTACATACTGATATACACCAGAACATCAGCAGGAGAGGACTCTTTAAAGTAGAGACACTACATACTGATATACACCTGAACATTAGCAGGAGAGGACTCTTTAAAGTAGAGACACTACATACTGATATACACCAGAACATCAACAGGAGAGGACTCTTTAAAGTAGAGACACTACATACTGATATACACCTGAACATCAACAGGAGAGGACTCTTTAAAGTAGAGACACTACATACTGATATACACCTGAACATCAACAGGAGAGGACTCTTTAAAGTAGAGACACTACATACTGATATACACCTGAACATCAGCAGGAGAGGACTCTTTAAAGTAGAGACACTACATACTGATATACACCTGAACATCAGCAGGAGAGGACTCTTTAAAGTAGAAACACTACATACTGATATACACCTGAACATCAGCAGGAGAGGACTCTTTAAAGTAGAGACACTAGATACTGATATACACCTGAACATCAGCAGGAGAGGACTCTTTAAAGTAGAGACACTACATACTGATATACACCTGAACATCAGCAGGAGAGGACTCTTTAAAGTAGAAACACTACATACTGATATACACCTGAACATCAGCAGGAGAGGACTCTTTAAAGTAGAGACACTACATACTGATATACACCTGAACATCAGCAGGAGAGGGCTCTTTAAAGTAGAGACACTACATACTGATATACACCTGAACATCAGCAGGAGAGGACTCTTTAAAGTAGAGACACTACATACTGATATATATGTTAGCTGACCAACTTATAAAACCCAGAGTGACTCCCATCTCAACAGGGAAGCTGGCTAAAAAGGTTTCAGGCTCCTTTTTGTCGTTTGTTTTTTTAAGAGAGGATAAGGGGAAGAATTTAGACGGGACGACTCTAGAGAGCAGTGCCTCATCACATCTTCTGTCTAATCTTAATCCTCTTCCTCCTCCTCCGATGGAGACGCAGCCAGCTGCAGCGTGGAAGGCATTTTCATTGTTTACTTGCGAGAATACATGACCAGCGTCTTATCACTGCTGTCAGGCCTGAAATGTAAAGCGTGTGTCGCCTGTGATCACTTGCAGGTTTTCTTGTTTGTAATCCTTTATTCCAAGCTCCAGTCAGTCTGGCAGAGAGAGTGGGTTTCCCCCCCCCCCGCCCCGCATTTGTTTGAAGATCCCAGTTCCCCGCTATGTGCATTTTAAGCTCATCTGTGTTGAGTAGTTTGGAGCCAATGTTGTTTGCAGATGAGGCTGTAACGCTCATTGACAAAGCCAGATGGTAGGCGATAGTGGCCAAACACGCCACTTGGATAATGTACAATCGTTGGCAGGCGGACAGTCGTCAGCCTAGATGGATATTACAAACATGCTTGTAATGGATTGGACATTTTGGGAAGCGGTTCACACAAGCTTGTAAAGATGGAAAGAAACCCAGCGCCAGGAACAGAGCGGATGTAAAAATGCTTCAGATTCCATGACGGACAAGGACATCCATGCATTAGAAGAATGTGCCAGAGAGGATTGTGGGGAGAAAGGAGATGAACCCGGGGAAACGAGATCCCCAATCAAACCGAAATACCAGTCTACCATATGAAGTGTTTTCCAAGTATTTTCAGATGGGTGGTCCATTTATAGTGTTTTTCAGTATTTCTGAACTGCATACTTTTCCAGCCCCAGCATATCAGCGTCCTTGTTTCTGGCAGTGTCTTATCATAGCCACTCAATCTCAAAGCAATACTTTGGGCTTGGACAGCATGTTTGACAGAGTTTGTGATAGAGCCTTGAACTTGGTGAGAGCAGTAACCTGACCCACACGAGAAACTGCTGGTGTTCTGTATTTCAGTAAAGACGAGTAGTGCTATTAATCGTCCCACTGTTTAACACACAGGCAGTAATTTGCGTGGTGGCCTGCATTTTGGCTATTTCATGAGAGGGGGGGGGAAGGAAAATGCACAGTGTGGTCTCTTCTAATACTCAAGCGGTCATCTGTTTGGCTGTTGTTTTTGGCTACCGGTGAATTCCCTGCGCTGGGCCCTGGTGGCCTCTGACTGGCTGTAAAACCCCTTTCGGCAGAGCATGGCTGTTGGGTTAGTGCTGCTGTGTTGAGAGGTGAGCAGCAGGGTTGGGATTTCAATGCTGTTTGCTTTGGGAAGGAGCCTGAGAAATTGCTCCAATGCCACATGACCCATGGATCATAGTATAGTGGTGCAGGAATGAGTCTTAAAACCCCCAAATGAGTTCCCATTTTACAGGTTTTTGAATGTGTTTTTAGTTAGATCCCTGAAATAAGATCTTAAGAGATGTTCACGTTTTGTTCTACAACATAAAACACGGCAGTCAATAACCCACTGGTTGAATTTTTTAAGCTTATGTGTCATAAAAACGTTGTTGTTTAAGTGGCTTAATGAGACTAACAACATAATCAAGCTTAATAGTCAGCACACACACAAACTCCCAGTCAGGCTGCAGGTGTGTGTGTGCTCGGGCTGGGTTTCACTGTGTCTCGCAGACGGCCACTGGGCTCATAGGGGGGGGGGGGGGGGGGGGGGGGGGGGGGGGGCAGGAGCTCCAACAAGCCGTTTAGGGCAGTTTGGAACATTGCACAATATACATTTATTCTAGTAGACCTCAACAATGGAATTATGATCAGTAGAAATGGCCATGACATGGGACCTTTAATATAATTGGAAAGGTAATACATGTTTGTTTTAGTTTTTATGCGATGCACTTTTTGTTACCG